AATAATTAACATTTGTGATTTAAACTTTTTAAGATATCTAAATAAATACGTTTTTAGTATTCAAATACGTAATTCAATACTTATATTATTTTTTAAATGCGTAATGAAAAAATAGAAAAATATGTACCAAAGCTTTTAAGGGGTTATAAAAGTTTCATGTTTTCACAATAATTAATCAGTAATTACTCAGTACTTATTAGGGTAGTAATTACTCAGTGCCCCTCAGTAGTTACCCAGTACCTCTCAAACCATTTACACTCGATATAACCTAAAGAGTACACTTACCACCACAATCACACCTAACGTTTGGTTTACCTACATAGACACACGTAACGTGATGTTTTATTAACACAATCACACTGTCGCGAGGTTGGCTCCGCCTCGGTCTCTTTTATCAGCCCACGTCACCATCAGCCTCAGTATTTACGGCCTGAGGCCACATTTGCACCAGATTACATCTATATCGCCGTCCTCACATCTGGTTATATCTCGCCGATGTTGATGATATGTTCACAATACTATATCGAGGGCTGTCTCGTAAGCTGGGACTGACACTGCCGTACGTCTGGTCCAACACTGATACAACGTCTCGCAAGGTTTACTGCTGTGTTTCTGTAAATGTATCTCTTATCGAGAGAAAAAGGTCAAGATGGACTCATTTCAGTGATATTCTTTTACCTGAAAGCACAAAAATACGTCTTTCTATATGTTGATTGTGGTCAATTATCAATAACATCAAAAGATATTGATTTAGGTGTAGGATTTTTTTGATATGAGTTTTCACATTATTCCAGGCTAGGCTTAGGGGGTGTTCGCATTGTCACTTAGATTAAGTTCATTGGTGATTTGGTATTTAAACCCGAGACATTAGGCACTTAAGTCCCGCACTCTGTTACTAGACTATCTCGCTTCCCTTAAATTAGGTGTAGGTAGGGTAGATAAAATTTTAATGTTGTGGTCCCTAATATTTTTATTCATACTTTATCTCTCTATCCAGTCGTTATATGTTGTTTTGAACTATCATTGTTACTTAACCTAAAAACCAAACAAACTAAATTCCAAATAATCTTAAAGCTAAAATTCTTATAAGAATCATCAGTCAAAAACTTGCGGAGTAGGAACATCCCCTTTTGACTGCCAGTATTGCAGATTTTCTTGAAGTGTAAATGAAGTTATAAATTACCCATTAGATTATTAACTAAACCTTCAACGAAATACTATTGAGATGTTTAACTGAATTGTCTTAGAAATATTGAACTCTTGGACTTTAGGACAGTTCTGAGTAATTATTTTAAGCTTTCACCATTCATAGTTATATAGGCGAGGATTGACGCATTCAAAGTTATGGGATGAAAAACCCCATTCTCACTATACATCTATATAACTGGTAGGAAACAACCTAGGAGTATGTTGTTAATATAAAGCCATGTTACTTGCTAATTATTAATAATTTACAGTTTACCGACCTAAATGTTCCGAATTCTCTCCTTATTAACTACAAAACTCAAAATAAATATTAAACTACAAACTTAGCTCTGGAGGAACCGTTTCACCTTCGGCCGTCCCTGAACCCACTCCACCTCCCACCCACCCGCAGGACATTCAGGACTGTCGCAGGACAGCAAGCCTGACAGTTACGGTTGTCTCCTGATTTTACCGAGGTTCATCTTACAACTACAACCCCTGTCCACCCATACACAAGACGTCTCAATCGTCCTGAGCGGACTGAAATGTAAAAACCACTCCGATGTCGAAGCCTACGCAAACACGACGTGAAAGTCGTGTTTAAGGTCCTATTTCAAATTCAATGTCTTAATTATGGGAGTGGGAAATGTGTAACACTTCTTGGGGTTTATTTCCGCTTTATTTAAATTATTAGAAGTTGATAAAAACAGTATAATTTAAGGAGCGGTTTTGATTTGTTAAGTAACATTAGATAAATGTTTTTCCGTTGTAATATTAAATATATGTACGTACCAAGATCGGTGCGTAAATCTAAAACTAAATATAGCAAGATGCCAGTAACTACACAGGATATTCTGCAAATGTCAAAACATAAGTACAAATACAACAAATAATTTAATAATGAAATAATTAATTAAATTTACAAGTTCAACAAGGGAAATATACAGTATAACTTTATTTTATTCACATATATAATAGCGCTTTCAGAAACTATGTTTCCATCTTCAGGCATTAGTACACTAGTACAAAAAGTAAATATTTACTAAATAATAAATTAATTGTAAACAAAGCTAAAACAGATGTTGTAAAGGATATTGAAAAAATATATAAAAATTAATATTTAAAAAATCTTATGAATTAGAGATATATTACAGTGTTGTTCTTGATGTAATTATTTTCAGTAATTCCGAGTTTATAATTGGGTCGTCTTCATTTTTTAACAAATAATTTTGGTCTGTTTTTTCTATAAAATATGATTCCTACGCATTAAGATGTTGAGATTTTATAATTTGTTTTAAAAGTTTCAGGTTTCCCAAATTGAAAATATGTCCTGTATTTATAATGTGGCTAGCAAGGGCTGACTTTTCAGGTCTTATTATTAAATTATTTAATGACTAATAATTACATTTACACAACATTAAGTCCCACAACGTTATTTGATATAATCTTTATTGATGAATAAATTCACTGATCACTGAGAGATTGTTTGCAAATTAAAGATATTTAATACGGTAAACTACTAGTAGTGTGAAAGTTCGTGTTTTTAATACACAACAGTTAAATATATTGATTAGTTAACTTTCAACTCCTGGTAAAGTTAGTTTGCTATTATATACCATTTATCCTGAGAGTCATATAATCTTCTTTAAAGTGTAAATGTTAATATTTAGAAAATGTAAACAATATTTTAAGCTTTCTTTAATAATTTTCTCAGTAATTAAATTGTAGTGTTTATTAAGTCGAAAACGTCTTTACTTTTTAGAGACCTCGAGGTAGGACAGAGTATTGATATGCACAACCCACATAACTGAACTTTATATTACACATATTACAAGTATTCAATGCTCAATGTTCATACTAGCCAGTGGCAAGGACACCAATGTGCAGATTGTTACTCATTATTCTTGTAATACAAGTTTATGTAGGATATAATTGGCTAGTAGCGTACATCAAAGCACTAATATAACATTGCTTACCCTTGAACATTTAAATAATTGTGAAGGAAACGATTTGATTATGAAAACATAGTATGTAGGTATTACGGAAATTACATTATCATTTTTCTTAAAGTAAACTATTTTCTAGTCTGTTAACCATCTTTTACAAAATTCATTCTCCAGTTACAGGTATTTTATTCTACAGAGCTCTTCTTGAATGGATTCTTTGAAAGGGAATGTTAAAATTTTCAAATGTATAACTCTTTTTTAAATCTTGTAAGCCATTAAAGCTGTAAATGGCAGTTATGTAATCAGTGTTCGCAAATTCAAAATGAATTGTAAAATGTGTAGTTTGACAAACGTACAGGCAAAAAAATATAGATTTAAAATTTAAATAAAATTAAAAATTTGTTTTATAGCACGGACTCATCATATAAAAAGTATTAAATTGATACTAGTTATCAGTTATTTAATTCTTTAAATTAATATTGACTATGTATTTTAACGTGTACATATAGACCAATATTCAATTGATTGCGATATTAAAAATTTTGTATATATGAAATATTGTTTAGGTGATACATTTACATAAATTTGTAAAAAAACAGTATTCCATTATATCAGCAGAGAGGTAATTAGAAATGTAGAAATTATATGGAAATAGGTTTAAATACTCATGCAAGGAATTCAATTAACTCGTAAGATGAGAGCGAAGGTGTTAAACAGCGTGTGATATGACATGCATACCCTCTCATACGAGAAGATCTCCATTCCTTCATTCTTATCTCTTACGGTATTTTGAGGGCAATGAAAATATACATTTATACCATAAATGTCAATCATCGAATTATGATAACATTCCATATAGTTTATAGTAATCTTAAATAATTGTTTTATAACTGTAAAAGGTTCTCCCGACCTTTTTCTACACAATCGGAATGTTTATTTTACAGTAATAAAATCATGTTTTAATTTTAACTAATTTAGTACTTGGAAGTTCACATATTTTTAAATGGGCAACTTTTATGTAATGCCGTTTCTAGTAGCTTACATGTAGTAAAATTATTATACAATTAAAATCATTGTTATAATTATGCTTGTCTGTTACGAATGATGTATGTTAAACAACTTGCAACACTGAGTCAATTTATTCCTGTTTGCTTAAATATGTTAGTTGGGTTAATTGCCATAAATATGTGAAAACATTTTTACAAAGCCTATTTATTTTACTCAAGTACTGTATTATTCAGTAAAGTTTATAATTAATGGCTTTCTTTTATCCAACAAAGTCTTAAAGATTATAAGTTTCCTATAAGGCTTATAATCCTATGAAGAAGGCAAAATGGATTTGAATAAGAAATGTAATCCAGTGTTAATAAGGGTTTAATCCTTCTGTCTTCTTATTTAATGTAATCTTTGATGATCCACAAAGGGACTTATTAAGATTGTCTTCAAGCTTCTAGTTTCTTTCAATCCCTTTAATGTTTTTTACTAGTTAATGAATGCTTATATATTATGTTTATTTTTTGATTCGTTATCTGCAAATCATAACACTACTAATTGATTAAAAGTGTTTTCTCGTCTAATTTCCAGTACTTATCACACTGCGGAAATACGTGAAACCTCCAAGAAATAGAACTCTTGTAAGTATATTAATTTTAATTAGGAATAAATTAAAACCAAATATCATTAATGTTTATGTAAGACTTTTAACAAAACAGAAATAAAATATTTTACATATTTGGGTCGCTATTTGTTGTATTTGTAGAACAATTTATATCAGAGGAAACACAGATAATGATTGTAAATTGTCTGATTAAAGTGTATTGATCACAGCCAAACTATTTGATTATGAAGTCAGTTATTATGTTATCGTGTTATTTTTAACTGTTGTATAGTAGAAATCAACGTTGAACTAAGAAACACACGCTAAGGTATGTAAACGTGAATATATTTTCACCAAATAGTGTTAATAACTTATATTAGAGATATTGGAAATTACTAATGAAATGTATAACTAAATTTAAATGTTCAAAATTGTCAATATATGATAAATTGTTTATTTCACAAGCACTTTCGGAAACTGAGTGTCCATCGTCAGGCTGTGTTTAAACTAGTACAAAGTATTTATTTTTTTACACGTTGAAACACAGTACAAAAAGAAACTGGTACAAAAAGTATTTACATTTTGTACTAGTTTAAACACAGCCTGACGATGGAAATCAAATTTTTCGAAAGTGCTTGTGAATTTAACAATTTATTATATATTGGCATTTATGAACATTTAAATTTAGTTACACATTTAATTAAATAGTGTTGAATTAAATAATATAAATTCCATCTATTAAACTAGTACTCCTCAAACTGTTTGGAGGAATAGTTTAACTTTTTAATGCATATTGTGTTTTCTGTTTAGTAGAAAATTAATTTCTGTCAGAGTGTAGTTAATAAAATATGAACGTACAAATGATAATTGTTAAAACTAGTTGTTATTAATCTTCCATGGCTATTTTATTGATAGTAAACATAATCATTCAACATAGGTTATTTGGTTCAATTTGTGACTTGACCAATTATTCTTTTCAAAAAATCTTTTGTATGGTGACGAAAAAAAATCTATTGAAAATTCAATTTTTAAGGTCAGATGTGGTTGCTGTGGTGTTTCAAACTTCCGTAAGCTAGTTCAGCTTTTCGGTTTGGTAATAAAACTATAAGTCAATTCAGCGTTAAATGTATTAATATACAAAATTCATAAATTATGATAACTAAGCCTAAAGCTTATATGTATATTTTTTCAGCACATGAGCATCAATTACTAAAAATGGATAAAAAATACGACGAACTAAACGAGTTTCTAGACCAGTGTATAAATGATGCTTTACAAGAAACCACGGGCAGGTTTCAAGTTGACAAAAATCACACAGGAAGAATAGATCCAGATGATTTGAACAATTCAAACCGATTCAAGGGTTTCAAGGAAGATGAAGAAGATCCTGCGGGTGAAAAAATGAAAGATTACGAGAGGAGTCCACCTTACAAAATCTACCAGAGACCACTAACAGCCGAGGAAACGAGGGACTTTAAACTGTATGAAGAAGACATGGGAAAACGTAAGCCTGGGCAGGAGAGACCAGCATGGACAGGGTTTGATGAAAAATTGCGAGGTTTTGACAAAACAGAAGAATTCAGTAAATCAATGAGAAATGCTAAAACCTCGACGATGCAAACAAAAAGTGATTACAGAGAACACAAACAAGACTCTAAAAGCGACCATTTAGGAAAGAAAGATAACAGTCTACAAGAAGACAAACTCGATTGGTCATATGGAAATTATAAGAATGACACTCAAACGAATTACAATGTGAAAGAACCCAAAATAAACCCAAATATCTACTACCCTCCGAAGAGCTCGGAGGAAAAGCCAGGACAAGAGAAATGGCTATTTAAGCCAAAGTTCTCTAAGGAGGATAAAACTGAAACAGGGTATCAGGAGTCTACTGGAGACAGAACTAGACGATTTAATGACCCAAGGAAACCCATACAAGACATGGATGTGTCAGATGGAAAGCAAGGGTTCAAAAGAGATGCTGTGGAAAGCGTAAAGGAAAATTTGGAACCAGGTGCGAAGGAAGAGGAAGTGAAAAAAGGTGAGCTGATATAGTGTTTTAATAGGATTGGTAGGGAAATATTTGTTAATAGTTTTACTATTTTAGTTTTTGATCGACATATGAGATACTTTTTGCGACAAAAGTGCTTTTCCATTGCAATGGTTTAGTCAACAGTTGTAACGATTTTAAACCACTCAAAGGTGTTTAACCAACATTTGAACTCAAAACAAAACGCAGTGGCAAACACTCATCCATAAATAGCTTTACATGAACACAACACAAGTACACAAGTATAGGGAAGTGAATTTTAAAATTTTACAATTATGCTTGTAAAGTTTGAACATATTTAAATAAAAGTTTGTTTTTAGCTACCACCATCAAAACTTACATAAAAGTACACTTGGCAACACAATTACCTATATCTGCTATTATATTGTTTAGCTTTAACTACAAATTATTTTCCGTTCTTTAGTAAACTGACAAAGAACTAAAAATGCAGACAGTTCAAAATTTCAGCAAGGTATAACACAAATACGAGTTTATCTCTATTGATAAAAATGTTCCAAGCTAGCAACACATTTTGTGTCTTGTATTAATTATTGTAACTGCTCAACAATGCACGATTGAGAATCTGTTTTTGATGTGTGGTTATGAGAACTGTTGAAGCTGAGACCAATCATCATGGAGCGTGCTTCATGGGGGGCTCTGCCTCCTATGGGAAAAGTGAACCCCATGGAGCCCCCGGCAGACACCATAGTATTCACCCTCAACACTGGGACTTCGCCCTGTTTCAACGAAGACGAGTGTCGGAGGACTGTGAGGGAAATACAAGCCCGCCACATGGGCAAAGGCCTCGCAGACATTCAGTATAAGTAAGTTGTGCTCTTGATCATTAATACAATTTAGAATATTTGAAGTATGATTTTAATATTCAACCTTTTCAAAAATAATTATTAATAAAGATATTATTATCCCCTATTATCACATACACTTAAATAAAATCTGCGATGAGGATTTTTGCTAGCTCACAAATAATTAAGACATGTATCCATTATAAAAAAGCAATTTGAAAAAAATATAGCTTATTTCAGAGGAGCTTCAGGCTAGAAAATCCTTGACTAGAGCCTGGTAAAACAAACACCATTCTCTTATTAGATTTGATTAAGATTGGTTAGGGAAAGTCGAGATGTAGTAACGATTTTTAAAGGAAAACCATACGAAAGTACGATAAAAAAATCCACTCATGTTAGGTAAATATTTTCTTCTTTTTGGATGCTACTAAATTAGTACGAGATAATTTTGTCACACATTCTTCCTATTTTGTCGTCAACATCACATACAATACGGATGACTTTTTTTTAAATACCTTAGTAGCTTATGTTTGATACTATAATCGTTAATATTATAAACAAATATTAACCTTAGGTATATTTTGTAATAATGTGTAAAATTCCTTGAATTATATTTTCTCCACTTAAAAATTAATTTTCATAGGAGTTGTCAGCAGTAAAACTTTCATACCAGGAAAAATGTGCATTTCCAAGCTTTTTTGTGACACATTTCATACCGAAATAATTACAGCTTCTTGGTGGGCGGCGATGGAAATCTGTACGAAGGACGTGGGTGGGCGTTTGAAAGTGGTATCAAACCAGAAAAACAGCAAGGCAAAAACTACAACATCGCTTTCATCGGAAACTTTCAAGGTGAGATAAAAATACAAAGTTTCTTTAGACCAGTTCAGCTGGAACACATCACACTTTATATTCTGGCGTTTTTCCGTCAAATTTTGATAGTTTACTAACATTATAAAACTTAGTACCCTATGTAATCGATTTAGAGAATAAGTGAATTCCTAATCTGTTGCTTGCTGTTTGTAACGTGTTTATCACGGCTAGAATTAGTTATAGCGATGAAACCATTGTTTATTAGCAGGCCACTCACATAATAACCAATACGTTTTCAGGAGACATTGAAAAGATCCCTCCTGACATGTTGGGACCAGTGCAGGAACTGATAGTTTGGGGAAACGCAATCCGACTTCTATCAAACGACACAAAACACGCTGGAGAATATAGAGTCCAAAACCCAACCGAGTAGGGTCTATCTACCAGTTTACATTAACTAATAAGAAAAAATATTTATTGTTCATAGGGTTGTTTTATTTATGTATATAATTTGAGCTCGTTTCTACCTTCATTTCTGTTTTGGTAATAAGCCAAACATTCTACATTATGCATTCTTTGAGATTGAACCTTCTTAAAAGAAGACTTTGTATCATGTTTTTATCGTAACTGGGACATACAGTAAGTAGTGCTTTCCCCAGTAAACAGAATCGTTTCATGAAAATTCAGATAAATATTTTAGTCACTGTAAATTAAAATACGCTGATACTTGTTTTCAGTTTTCCTTTTGTCTTTTATATGATTCTTAATTTAATAAGTAATGGGACTACATAAACAAGTTGAAAAGACAATGGTAAGAAAGTCTATGAACAAGAATGTTAAAATATAAATAAAATAAAAAACACCTCCAAGAATCACTAAAAGCTTATATTTTTTATATCGACATAATTGTATTATATAACTTAAGTACATAATTTCACCACTAGCTGCATTGTAAAGTATAGTTGTTTTATTTATTGAGTAATTCAAACTCTTACTTAAGAACAAATGCCTTAAACAGATTTTGTGTTTTAATCATAAGAAAATTGTTTAGGTAAATACATATTTAGAAAAGTGTGAATGAAGTAATGCAATACCCGCTACCAGGTTGATGACTTTCTTATATAGAATCTTATATTTACACTTGTATAAAATTGAATTGCATTGTATCCTGGAATAGAGAAGACATACTTCGTCATCGTTTGGCGTAAGAGGTGACTGGTAGACGTGTGTTGTTCCAAGAGGGTTTTATTTAGCCGGGGGAGCTTATGTTGTTTTAACAACAAAAACCGAGGTGAAGTACGTGTGGAGGACAGCTACCAGCAAGCCTGCCAGCTGTCAAATAGCAACAATCAGGCAGCTGATTCCCCTTATTGTTGTTGACTTTTCAATAATAACCAAGAAAAGATTGCTTAGTGTCTGTTCCTGTACCTCACGTGATGAAATTAAAATCTAAAATACAACTCTGTTAGGTAAAAATACAGCCTGCATTCATAAGTTAAACTCTGGTCTAAATACATTGTTTTTGGCGTATACGAACATAAGATAAATAAACGTGCATGTTTGGTTTGCTGAAAATAAAAATGCTATTGTAAAACTCACTTATTAGTTCCACACTTACAACTAAAAAACTTCTTTCAAGACATTTAGTACTTAAACAAGTAGTATTCATTCCTAACTTCTTACTCAGACAAAATTGCATTATACATTTAATAATATAATTAACGAATGTTACATATACACTATTTTATATTCTAATGATAATAGAATTCACAATATTTCCTTTTCTATGGCCACAGTTATAAGGGTGTGATATATTTCTTAATAAAATCTTAATGCACTCTGTATGTATTTAAAATTAACCTCTTCGTTAATCGAATATTCAATGTAGTACAACTTGGTAGTTGGCAATAACAATTAATACAGATCCTTTTGTAGTCATTGGTAATAATGAGTTAACCAACATAGAAATTTAGATCAGAATGTGAGTAAGCAAACGTGGTGTGATCAGCTTTAAATCAACTAATTATTAGGCGTTTCAAATATTTCTTGCTATAGGTTATCATACAAATTGAACTGCGGTATGAGTTCAAATACTAACACTATTAAAGTGCAAATTGGCGAACAATGCATAAACTAGATACAATTAACGAAAATAGTTTAGTCACTTATCTTCTATATTTATCACCCTAATTAGCACTATTATGGGAATTAGCAGATAAAAATATGATTACAACATTCAATACGTATAATTAGTATCATAATATGTTCGTACTTCATGCATAATTATTAAGGCCAAATATGTACATTTTGAATGTTAATAAGTAAAATACTATTCAATTAACATTTATGAATTTAATAAAATAATCGATGATTCATTTTGCAACGATTTACTGCAGATTAATTTTCCTTTTTGCCAATATTTCACTGTTTTTGATATTTCATTCCCTCCATTCCTTCATTCATCCTAGGAACTATTATTTCACTCAAGTACATATGTGCAACGAAAACAACAAAAATATAAATATGCGAAATGCGAAAGTCTCTCACCAGCCACCTTATATCCAGGGATTTATATCTCCTCGTGTATTTTCAATATCGGATACAAGTCAAGAGACACGCTCATATCTGGTGTCGCCCGCTTGATTTGAAATCTATATTGGAAATATACGATTAAGTTTTGTTTCCCTTCTCTTGTTTCCCCAAGGATGGAAAATATTTGCGATTTCTTACGGTGTAACGTTTTCTATTGTTGACAGAGATGTGACTTAACAGTGTCCACTTAGAGTGATCTGCCAACATTTAAGCATCCTAATATTGACTTGTTATATACCTCACAAAGCTATTTGCTGGATCCATAAATTTATTTTTTTATTTATTATGATTTTATTAATAGTAATAGTAAAGAAACTTTATTTTGGCAAAGTAGGTTAGTTGAACGTGGAAGAAAATATTTTTTCACCACACTATCATGTTTTTGGCTGTATTACATACGTTAATTGGTGGCCGAAAGTTAGGTTTTGCTGGCGATGCCAGCTTTCCATAATTTGGGGACCGAGCAGGTTTTTACAGGCCGGGGCCGCAAAATCAGCTGTCCGCTTACTTACTTAAAACATGAATGCATTTTAAATACATAATCAAAATCCATAGCATTTCAATAGAATTGTGTTATTGTCACCGTTGCCTAGCAACTATATATTTTTATTTTTGCTGATTCCTCAAATTATTTCTTCACATAACCTTAAAGTTGTAGTTGTGTTGACTATCAGTGTGCATTATTATTGTGGTGAATAGTGGTAATAGGGTATAGTGTGGTGAAAAATAGCGTTCGTACCACGGACCGAAATGGTTTTGCGGCTCTCGAACTTAAAAACTATCTCGAGCCGGCAAAACCTCATTTTCGGCCCTAGGTACGAAATATACTATTGTTTACATTCTAACTACAATTAATTAGTCATTTCAATACATGAGTTGCAGGTCTAAAGAAGTTTTTTTTTCTCTCTAGGGGGAAAAAGGTAAAGCTTGGGTCGAGGTTACTAAATGTACATTTTTCAGATTTTACAGTTCTTTTGCAAGCTTACTCGAAGAAAATAGTCCCAGTTCATAAGAAAGTTATCATATAATTATTGTTTTTCGTCTCCTTATTAGTTACAAAGCCACACAGATCATCCCACTCCGTTCTACGCTCATATTATTTGTTAATACGCGCCTAGGTGGCGTTCCCACCCCCATCACAAAATTATAACTATAACAATGATAATAAAGCGTATATCCAACTGTATTCATCGTGTTAATATATTAATAAATGTCACGGTACTTCACACCAAAGAATATTGTTGATGATATATTGCGATAATTTATAAAATGCTTCATCCTACAGTAAAACATGTGCAAACTACTATAGCTCATCGTCACGGGGGAGCGACCTGTTCTAGTGGTTAGAGCGCGAGACTTAGGTCCCTGAGGTCCCAGGTTCAAATCCCACAAAGTCATAAATGGATTTTATCCAAGTGATGATTCCGCAACCCCTAGGTCTCGCCTGAAGTAATGGGAAAAACGTTTCCAAACTCGTGACTAGCATCCTAGGACAAAAAAAGGAAAAAACTATAGCTTGTCGTAACTTAAAGATTTTACTCTTACGTTTGGATGACGTTTAAAATATTATTTTCAAGGTTAGCCGGATCTGAAGTATTTATCGCAGCATGAACATAAGACAGCTGACGTCATACGGGTGTTCTCGCCCTTCTGTCGATACCACACATCCAATATTTCATCGGCACGCTGTCTTCTGCTGCTTTGTTCTAGTTGTTTATGTTCAAGTCACGACGATACACCTCAGTAATATGTGTTTAGTTTTATTTAATACCGAAAAATAACTCGAATCAATTGTAAATTTACTTGCGGTAAACGGAAAAATCTTAGTTTAATAACGAAGTTTGTGGAACGTTGCAAATTGAAGTTCTCTATAAGGTTAAATTGTGTATTTAAACTGACAGTTCACTGTTGTGTGTCTTTGGGTTTTTCTACGCCAGATGCATTGTTAATCAATGTTTTATCAATGTAAGGGAATGGTCCAAATATAATTTGAATTAATGATTAAGCTATTACATTTTTAACGGGGTTTTTCTATAAAAAGCGTTTCATTTGAACGGGTGATAGAGAAGTTTAGAAAATTTTAGTTTTCAGAGATTTCTTATTGCCGTAACCAATATTGGGATAGACCAAGAACAATATTATGGGGACTGCATTTTTACATTGAGGTTCACCTCAAGGTTACAAATAGGAGAAGAGAAATTGTATTTATGTATTATGTCCATTGACTTAGCCAATGCACTGACTTATCAACTTATTTACTTTATTGATTTAAAATCGGAAATTTAATACTGTGATCGCCAATAAAGATTTTCCATGAGAAGTATGCACAGTTTTTAATGGAATATCACTGCATATATGATGTTGCTGTTACCGTTGGATAAATAAATGCTGTTTATTTATTTATTGATTTTACATAGCACCTTGATAATCTAGACAATTCACTGTAACCATCTCCAAATACACACATATACACACATAGCTTACAGTGTACCTACAGTTTGCGATAGAAGCAAAAAATGCTATTAATCCAATAAATGAAACTCTTAATACGTTTAAAACATCGTAAACAAAACACAATATAATATTTTGCGCACAAACCGAGTTAATTGCAGATTTTATTCCACATCTCCGCCACAGTGCATGGCCGCTGACAGTTTAATGAATCTGTGTGACATTGTGTCATACGACTGACAACAGGTGGAGCTGTGACACATGACACATGACTCACCTCGCTTTATTAACTTTTTATAAAACGGACTTTCATTGAACGCCTGTGTTCAAATTTAATTTTATAACTTTTTCGTTGTATAGCAGTCTTTATAAATGTTAAAAAGGCACTATTATTAAAGGTTTATTTGTTATGCACGTCTTAAAATGTTATGGGATATCTGGTTTGTAAAATAGATAAAACTACGATACAAAGCGTACGTAAAAAGCAGATCGGTACATATAATGTGTGTATATGAGATCAATCTTAAATGCATGTAAAATCCTTAGTAAATTTAAATCCTATGCTTTTTTTAATCGTAAATATAATGTTGGTACATGGTTCGTGTTCTAATTTAGTTTAATGTGTAAAGTTTCACATATGTTGTAGGGTCGTGGCATTTTTATGTTAAAACGTGCTCAGTAAAACCCCATCACTTCTCAAACCAATCGCCTTTCT